TTATTAATAGAGATTGACTGAAATCTAAATTTTGGGTCCAAAATCAAAATACGTGGTCCAAGCCCATCTATTGTTAGGTGCCAACACTAACCCTACCCCTAACCGTAACCAACTCCCATCAACTTCAAGATTCTCAAAAATGCAAATACTCATGGAGTAACACCAGATATTTTTCCATAAACAGCACCAAGACTCCCCCTGCAGCAGCTATAAAATGTAGCAAAATACAAAACAATGAAGTAGATCAATAATCTAATTTTTGATGAGTTAACTGGTTTCACAAATGTCTACTTCTACCTTTCCCTTTAAAATTCCCCCGAGTTTCATAAATCTTCATTATTAATAGAGATTGACTGAAATCTAAATTTTGGGTCCAAAATCAAAATACGTGGTCCAAGCCCATCTATTGTTAGGTGCCAACACTAACCCTACCCCTAACCGTAACCAACTCCCATCAACTTCAAGATTCTCAAAACTTCCAGGATAAATTTTCCATTTACATTAAGTAAACTGGTTAGTGGAGTTACTGGATTTACATCAGTGCAACAGCTTGAAAAATCCCCCTCAAATATCTCTATAAGGGATAGAATCAAACTCCCTAACTTCAATATTCCTGAATCTAGGTGCGTATGAGCTGAAATCAAACCTCAGTCTGAACTTTCCTAAATTTTCGAGTGTTCACAATTGCCAGCGCAGATCCAGGTCCAAATCCAGATCAAGGGTTTTGGTTTGGGCCCCCATCTCTAGCTGTTATTTAAAAAAACGAATTGGCAGATGAGGTTTTAAATAACCGGGTCCTAAATTTAAAACTGAGCATAATGCCACCCCAAATGGGGGCCATATATAGGCAATATGCTACAAAAGTAGATTGAATGTGTGGCTTTGCTCCATCCTCAGCCTTCCCCTCATGTTTTCAGATTATTCCTGACAGAGATACAAATAATTTGCATGAGAATATGTAGAGAGGCTGGATCAGGGAGTGTATGTGCAACAATTTGCAGACCCTGCTTCCGTGCCCCTAGATCCTTTTCGCCCCTTCAAAGCTCCTGTTGCAGAAGGCCTGCAGAGCAACCTTCCTATGGGTTTTATGGGGAGCAAAAATAGAAATGGCCAGTTTCTACCCAGCAGGCCAGATCCTCAGCTGGCCTAAACTGGCATAGTTCCATCAAAGTTAGTGTACACCAGCTGAGGATCTGACCCTGTATTCTAGTTCATGGGGTTTTCTATTGGGCAGCCATACACTCTATCAGAATTTGGTAAAACTTGACTGTAATAAAGTATATTAAGTTTTTTATGCTCATAGGTTCATAGAATCATAGAATATCAGGGTTGGAAGGGACCTCAGGAGGTCATCTAGTCCAACCCCGTGCTCAAAGCAGGACCAATCCCCAGACAGATTTTTACCCCAGTTCCCTAAATGGCCCCCTCAAGGATTGAACTCACAACCCTGGGTTTAGCAGGCCAGTCCTCTCTTTTTCTCTCTCAAGACAGTAGTTGAAATGCAGACAAAAATCACCTATAACGATAGACATACCTTTGGTGGAGCATTTGGTTCCATCTCAAATTTATCTGGGAAAGTTCTGCTCAGAGCCAGGTGTCTGGCATGCATGTAGTACTGCAATAGAAAACAGAGGTCTACATGTGCAAAAACCCAATGAAGACTTGGGCACATTTAGGCAGCGAGAGGGAAAGTAACACTATTGTCTTCTCAAAGAAGATGCTGAAGAAAGACTGAATGGATGGATCTTTAACTGAGGCTAACCCAGTTGGGATGGCCCTTGTGAAACTGTGGACACATTGCACTGAAGTAATGATCAAATCCTGAGAGATTTATACTGGAGTAACTGGGCAGAAACTGCTTCTTTGGCTGCAGTGAAGATACTCCTTAATCTCACAAAAGTGTAAGAGAACGGACTTCACCCACTTCAGCCAGTCTAGTTTTCTGGTGGGGATGGGGTGATTCTTTTATCCCTAAAAATATAGCACACGTTTCTCTTTCTTGAGCGGAAATATGTATTTATTTATTTATTTCTGCTCACGAATGTAATACAGTAACACACAGTACATACAGTAGACATGTTAAAACTGACTCATCCTTCAAAATGAAGGCACTGTAAGGAGAATAGATTTATGACATTGACATGCTTTTGCAAATTCAGAAAACCAGTCTGATGGTTTTGCAAAAGTTCAAACTGCATGAGGTTTGCACATTCCGAGGGCCCACACCGAAATGACAGCTTACTGTGACAGGCTGTGATCCTGTAATAGGATCCACATGGACATAAGGTCCTCCCAAATGGATCCCAATGCAGGATAAGGCACATAGTAATTAAAGCAGTGGTACATTTTACTCATCTCTTCACCTGTGGACTTTAGAATACTGATCTACCTCCCTCTGGTTAATGTGTGATATTGCATCATTCTCTGTACTAGGCTAAGGGTGTTATTTGGCCTTCACAGCACAGTCCTGGTTTGGGGATGGTGCAGAATCCCAATGGTATTTTAGGCAGAATAGGTGGGATTTTCAAAAATGCCTAGGTGACTTGGGACCACAAATCTAATTGAAAGTCATTTACACTTTTGCTCCGAAATCACTTGGGTGCTTTTGAGACTCCCACCCAATGCCTCCCAAGGTCTAGGGATGCTGCTGCACCATCCCTGAAGATGGTATAATGTCCACTCTCCACTGTCCAGTTTGGAGAGGCTCGTGCTGCCAGTGGCACTAGCCTTGTGCAGTCTTTGTGCTTGCGAACATAAGGACCACATTGTGTTTGGCTCCTGTTTGAAACAAGCAGATCAAGGTGATTCCTCAGCTTGGAAATAAGTGGGTACTTGAGTAAGTTAATAGGGAGACTTCCCTGAATTGGGGCCTTGGTGTTAATGATGACAGATTATATCCCCAATAACTATTGTGGTGGATGTGTGTTTGGGCCAATGGCTTGTTATATACTCACTAAACACAGTCACATACCCTGCCTAAATATCTCCAGTCCAGTAGGTCTGAGAGCCTCTCAGTTCGATTTCTCTGGATGATCCTCTGACGCCGTGACTGCTGGCAAAATCCATACAAGAACTGAGTCAGCTGGTTACATGACTCATCGGGAGAGCGGTACCTCCTGTCAACTATGTAAATACCTGAGGACACAAACAAAGTTGCAGATGAACAGGTATGGAAGCGAGCTTTTGACCTTTTAAATTTCATTTCTATCTTTCTTTACACGTAATCTTTTAAATATAACAAGTATGGACTTGTTTTATAATAGGTGGAGCAAGAAATGACAAGTGTTTCTATTCTAACAAGGCATTTCAGCAGCTGGTGAGAAATGCTTTTGATTTTTTACCTTTCAGGCTGAAATTTGGTAGATCTGTTCTCCGCTCAGGAAGGCTTTTATTGTTTTAAAGTCTGTGCAAAAATGGTCCAAGTGCTTTTGTGTGGTAAAAAAAAAAATTCACTTTTCCATTATAAAAAAAATTGCTACCTTTCTTGAATACCTGTGGTGGCTCAGTGATGTGAGGTGGTGGTGCGAAATTTGGCAGACAGGAGACACAGGCTATGTCTTCTCTGCAAAAGGTGGTGTGTTTTTATATTGAGACAGCTAACTTGAGTTAACTATCTCAATGTAAAATCCTAGTGGAGACAAGGCACAGCTAATTATTACCTCAGTGTTGCTAGTCAAGGTCAACACTTTATTCCCCATCTGTGGTTGAACGTGACTCACAACAAGGAGTAAAAACTATAGTGCTTTGTCGCCACTAGGATTTTACAGCCAGACAGCTATCTCCACGTAAATACCTAATTTTGCAGTAAAGACATAGGCATTCATGTACTTTTTGGAAGTTTGGTGAAAACTGGTTGTGATCTGTGAGAGTTATAAGGATTTGTAAATAGGTCTTTGCTCATGCACATCAAATTCTGTAATGCAATATCTTTCTGATGTGCCAACATTTTGTTCTTTTTCAACCTCACTCTAAACACCAACTTTTTTGAAGATTCGGGGCCAAGGCCCAGATCTTAAGGTATTTAGGCACCTATCTCCA